TGGGGATCCAGTTATAAATTTGTAGTTGTCACTGTAGTTATGGTTATAACAAGGTAAGATACTAGCCTGTGGGAAGCTTGGAGTCTTAGAGAGATAAGACAGACACAAATGAAAAAGGGAAGAAAAGAGACAGTAACATATTGGTAAGAACTTACGTGGTACATGTTGGGGAAGTTCAGGTGAACACTCCTCAACATTCAGGTTTCAACAAAAAAATCCCCTTATTTTTCTAAGGAAAATTAAACCTGAGGCCTTTGTCACCAAATTGCAAGAAATACAGTGAAGTTTTGGGACTCCCTTCTCGTCCCTAGATTGGTACTAGGCTCATGAAATGTAGGGAGGGATTAGGTCCTTAGTCCATGGTGATCTCCATCATTGACATTGCTTGACTACCCTGCAAAGATGCCATTGAGCCTGGTCCTTCTGTGATTGCCAGCACTACTGCACTAGCTGGGTTGACAGATGCCCTCCATAGTGGTCTTTGCTGCTGACCATTGGCCCAGCCCCCAGATGATTACTGTTCCTCTCAAAGCAGTGCCTTTTGATGTCCAATCTCCAGAAGTGTGGCAAGCAATTACCCCAACTGGAGCTGTATGCAAGTAGAGAACTTGCTACCTTCCCCATTTGAGGGAAAGTTGATTGTTTTTCTCTCCAGTAATACTATCCCATTCTCTAACTCCAAAGCATCAATCAACCTTGCTCTCCTTTCCCCAGAAGGAGCCCAGATTAATAATTCATTTTAGAGAATGGAGATTAGGAAAAGGAAACCCTTTGTTTTATGGTTTCTTCTTTAGGGGTTAATGGGCTCTGAAACCACAACTCCCTCAGGCAAAGGAGCCTATAAAGCATACACAAACCTGGCGGTTCTTTCATACAGGTGGGGGGAGGGGGAGATACCTTCTCATTAGGAAAGTTTTCTAATTCAGTGAACACAAGCCAGAAATTAATGTCTCGGTTTATTACCTCACCAACCAGTGGAAACTAAGAAAAGAGAATTCAGGATGAACTCCAGTAATCACAGAAGGCTTCATAGAGAAGGAAGTTTGAGTAGGGTTCATGAGGATGATAAAACTTGGTGAGAAGAGAAAGCATAATTACTTCAGAACTGCAGAAAAATTCAGCAGAAGAAAAGTAAAAATGAATGTGATACATGCACAGGAAAGAAAAATGGCCAACCTCTTGGATTAGCACAGAGATTTTATTTTAGAGAAAATGAAATCCAACCAAATAAGTGAAGTGAAAACAGATCATTTGAATGTTAGCTGTAGCTGTAGGAGACTTCTATAGCTCAATGTCTTTTTTATAATATTTAAATAATAAATATTATATAAAAATATATAAATAATATCATAAAGATAAAATGCCTACTCATGATTAAAGTAATTACAAAGCAGCAAACCACCATGGTACATGTATACCTATGTAACAAACCTGCACATGTACCCCAGAGCTTAAGGTATAATAAAAAAATAATAATAATAATTACAAAGTATGCCTTCTATTTCACTGATTTACCAGAGCCTCACAAGGTTTTGAGTTCTAACATTACTTATTCTTCACCTTAGTACAAGCTAAAAAGGAACTTATGTCCTCTTCTTTTGTTTAAGGATTTCCTGTGCCTGGTTCTATAATGGATCACCCTAGGTGCACAGATGAATTTCAGCTACTCTCTTAACCTAGCCCATACAAATCACCTGAGTGCTTCCATTTTAACCAGTCACCCAGCAAAACAGATTTACCTTTTTCCTTGGCTTTTCCCTGTTGCTTTGGGATAGAAAGTCTTTACTCCTCAGTAAAATGATCTATCATGGCTCAATTCCTTAGAGAAATCTTGCATCCCCATCCGACCAACAACCAAAGATACCCTTGAAAAACAGCAGTCTCATTGGAAGAAACTTTTTTTCAGTAAGACCCAAACAAAGAGAACATTCGAGCATGAATTTGAAGACCTGCTTCAAAAGCAGTTTCAGAATGACACAGCAATAGAGGACTAAAGGAAGTTCTATGAATTAGGAACTCAACGATAATTTTTGTCAGAAAACTTTTTTTAATGACATTATTGAGTCCTGTTTTATTACTCATTGAAGTCCAGATAAAGGTTTTTCTGAAGTCAAAAAATTAGTTTCTTACCTAACTGTAATTCATCACTGAGTGATGATATTCTTTAAAGAAATGCCATACCTGGGAGTTATACTGAATCTTTGAACTCACTGAATTAAAAAAACTGGTTTTTTTTCTATAAAATAAATATATGATGATGTAGAGACCACAAGAACAGATTATTAAAAATATGCTGATTTTCATACACTCACTTTTTAAACTTGTCATTTCTTTTTAAGCAAAACAAAAGACCTAACTTATTAGCTGTACATATAAATATATACATCCTTCTTTAAGGTCTTTTCAAAGCTGAGTTCAAACAGCACAACTTTGTGAATTTAAGTAGATTTGGTTCATTTTTGTATCCCACCCACGCATGTAGCATCTCCGTATTTTTGTTCCCCAGATTTAGTGAACAAAGGAAAAGGCTACAATAGGGCAGTAGCTAAATTTGTAAGGAAAGCACTTTAGAGAGAGAAAAAATGAAACTCCTAAAAGGTGTTTCAAAAGGTTTACAATATAAGAGGATTTAAAGGCATAAACCTCAGATTTCATTGACTTTTCTCCTTAGTCCCAGCAGATCTTCTCCCCGTCATTTCAACTTTGGAATGAGAGCGTAAGTGTCTTCCAGAATATTGTCTGGAATTATCTATCCAATGCCTTTATTCACAGAGTAAAACTTAATTTTCACAAACTATACTGTAAAGTAAATTTCAACAGTTTACCTCACTGGAATCAGATGCTCAAACTATGAAAAATTCATAAAACTTCAAGACTGAAGTTTTAAATTATGGTTGGAATTGGTTTCATAAAGTGGATGCTCAATCACTTGTTGATTGATAGATTATGCCCTCACCTCATAACTAACGGATTTAAGGTGGCTTAAAAGAATATTTAATTATTGATAAATATGTAGGAAATATATTTCTATATAATACAAAAAAAGAAATCAGAGGTAAAATAAATAATTGATAATATAATGAAGCTGGTAAAAATTTTACATAGAAAAGCATACCATGAGGTCCTACATAGTTGCTAAAAGGGAGCCTAAATTTTTATTCTGAGCTCCCTAGTAAACAGAGCCAAGAGGGAAACATGATCAGTTATGATATTCACAGGCTCCATAAAGAAAAGCAAAATGCAGCTTTTACTTTTAATACTTTTAAGTATTCTCTAGAAATGTTCCTGAGCACTGAGGTCTGGGAGAAGTTGATTAATACATATTTCAAATATCAAAGATCCTTATGGATGGATTTCTTCCATTGTTTTAGATTTCAGATCATTTGTGTCCTTGTGGTTCCATTTATACTGAGGTATTCTCAGTAAATGTTTTGCTAGTGAATTGGTGAAAATTCAAGTGGTCCCAAAACCAACTTCATAAGTCAGCTGTATTTACAATTTTACAATATTGGCAGGCATGTCCACATCCTTCTTAGAGATAACAGCAGACTTAACATAAAATCAGGCAAGCCAAAGACCTGGGCTAACCGAAGGAAACTGTGAGACCTCTGAAGCCAAGTAAGAAGACTTTTCTGGATTACTTTCTCCTTTAGACCCAAAAATCCCACTAGTAATATAAATCTATTCTCCTTAGATAAAGTACAAAGCTCTTACTTTTTTGGTGGAGTGAGGAGAGGAAAAAGAACTCAGGTATGGAAGATAAGTCAAGATTTGGAGATGGGCCTGAGACTCACAGGGCAAATGTTTTTCTAGTTCACAATTTTGCCTCCTTGTTCCCCATACTTGTAGCTTAGTAAAACTTAGTGCCATAACAGCAAGAAGGAAGAAAGGGAGGGAGGAAAAAACAAAGGCAGGCTCCCCATTAGAAGTACTATAGATCTTGCAAGTAAATTCTATTTTGTTGGTTGATTAGATGTATATATTTAATGTTTATTTCTTATTCAAATTATACCACTGTATCTAATTTTTAACCGTCAAAAAATGTTAAAGATTGTTTTCTAATTCTTCTATGGATTTGTCTTAATTGTCAAAAGGAATCTACTTGCGAAAAACAAGTTTTGCTAAACAATAGTTAGCCTCAACAGTTATAAACTATACACTATCATAATCCAGATTTCTGCTAGTATTAGTAGTTATCTGTCTTCCCTTTCACACCTTTTTAAAAACTCTCTTCTGAAAGGTAACTTTTCTCATTTTGGCTAACATTATTTGCTTTATCATACAAAATAGTATCAGTTCAACTTAAGTAAATGGAAAATATCAATTCAACAGACCTAATGCATCAGAGAGTAATGCAATCACAAAGTATGCATTTAGAAGCTTTGATTATTGAAAGTAGCTACAAGTATTTTAAAGAGGGAGGCCTGAATCTCAATCCACAGCTCTTAATTTGGGTAAAACACAGACCTCTTTGAGATTTTAATGAAAGCCACTGACCTTATTCCTATAAAAGTATAAACATGTCCATTCATGAAAACTATATGTACCCCCCTAAAACCCACACATAAAACTAAGGCCCTTTAAATATTTTTAAGTATTCTCTAAAAATGTTCTATAAATGACTAAAAATTCAAGTAATATTAAAGACATACCCAATTACAGTATTGGGATCATAAATAGAATGGTGTTGTAAATACTGTAAATAAGTTGGTAATTTTTAATATCTTTGTCTAGCTAAAATAATAAATAGTGACTAAAAAAGGACATCCAGGTAGTCCCCAACTTTCATAGCTAGGCATTCCTGCAAATATGTTTGAAAGTCAAATTTCTACAAGTTTAAAGTCAAATTTCTGCAAAATTTCAACAATTGATTTATGTTTTATGCGAAGAATTCTGTTACTGATGGCTAAAAAACGTGCTGAGATCCCTGATGGTTCCTCCACACTGGGCTTAGACAATCTGGAAGATAGAGGAGAACCCTCACTGGGAGATGGTCCAAAACATCCCCCTTTTCACCCAAGAATCGGTAAGTAAAACTGTACAGCTCTCCCATAGGCTGATGACCTTCCCTAGTCTCACTACCAAGGTAGTTAACAGCTGGGATATGCTAGGTCTATGGAGCCAGGGTAGGAGAAAAAGAGATCTTGTCTGCTTGCTGCCTTCCACTTGCATGTGTGGTTTCTCCAGTGCTCCCAGCCACCCTTCCAAGACTGTGTCAATACCAGTGAGATAGAAAGAGAGAGAAGGGTGGTGCACGGTCATTTGCTCTGGATGGAACCTCTGAGCAAGAAACTAGTATACCTCCTCTAGTACAGGGATTCAGCAGGACTACCTTGGCATATATGAGTAGGTAAAGTAGATATAACTGAGTTCTTACCCCAGGCAGGGGGTTTGGAGAATAAGGGGGCTTAGTCACCAAAATACATCCCCCACTTTCTGCAGAGATGACTGGCTCTTCCCTAGTGTGACTAACTTAACAAGCTGCACCTGTTTCATGTGCAGACCCACTTACCTCATCTGGTGGCCCAGATTAAAAGCTCAAAGGCTTTCTGGCCCTGCCACTTGACTTAGACGTATTGACTTGACCGAAATTTATATTGGTTTTCATTTGAGAGCTGGTGTTTCCTTCCAAGTCCAGAGACTTTAAATCCCCATCCCCCTCTATAGCATCTTACCCTTGCACTAGTCTCATTTTATATATCCTTTTGCTCTCCTGATTGAGAAAGGACTGGATTTCACACCTAATTAAAAGAGATTGTATTGCCTGCTGTTTCCTTTCTTGCTCATTTTCTCTTGTGAGCAGGCAGCTTTTTATTCTCATGCTAAGTCCTATCCCTGGACCCCTGCAGCTTAAGGGACAGGCAGGAGCAAGGTTTCTGCAAAACAGAGAGTCAGGCCCTCTATCCTCAATTCCCCACAGGCAGATTTTCCCTTCAGTACTCGCCTCTGCTGGAGCCCTGTCTGCGTTGTGCTCTCACAGAACAGTCACTTAGAATACATGATGACTTTCATTACTGCAATTCCTTCCATGTTTCCAGTAAATGCCATCACAGGCTGACTCTATATTTTTACTCTAGTGAAAAGGAGGTAGGTTATTATTTTAAAACAGAGAACTATTTTTATCACTTTCTCATTTTGCCGTTAGTTCTGTGTTCATAACACTGTGCATTTTTTATTTCAGGTGGGGAGGATCCCCAAATACACATAATCACATAATCTATGTAAAGTTTTGCGGTTTTGTACAGTTGATAGGGTTGTGGTTTGGGTTTTTTTTTTTGTTGTTTTTTTTTTTTTTTTGAATAGCCCAAATGCCTATTCAGTGCCAATCTAAGAAAGAATAGAGTTAGCATTTTCACACCATTCCTTCCTATACACTCTGTGAATAACCATCTAATCAAGATTTGTTTTCAATGGGGGACAAATCTTCTACAGTAGAGTATTTCAGATTTATTCCATTGGAATCTATACATTAATGCCCATTGGATGAAAAGGACATGCTCACAAAAGCCTGGACTTTGCCTTGCTGTGGCAGAAACTTTTTCCCACTGTATTAGTGTTAAAAATAAAAGAAAGCCTGGGAAAGGAATTGCCTCAGCATTGTGTGCTGGAGGAATGAGGTGTGCTTGAATGGGGAGGCAGGGTCCCCCTTTGCATCTGTACTCATATCAGCAAAAACGATTCAGCTTTTCATGGCTGTTCACTGCAGTGTGGGGCCAGTGTACTCAGGGAGATATTTAAGAATTGTGTCTACAAAATTCAATCAGGCATCTCAGGCCAGGTTGTGTACGTGTGCAGGTTTAAGTTTGTCTCTGTGGTTTTTAATGAAGTTGGTGGCAATATTATCGCAATAGTCTTAACTCAGACTATTTAGTAGATAACTTGATTGTTTAGATGAACTCAATTTGCAATCCAGTCTGGTCAAACAGTTTGTATTTTTCTCATGAACTTGTGTGTGTGTGTGTGTGATTATGTATGTTCACTTCTCATCTCTAAAGCAACCTTCATCATTACTTTCAGCGTCTTTCTTTTTTTCTACTGAGAATTAAGATAAATCTTGATCTTTGGGCACTTCAAGCTTCATTCCTCAGTGATCCACTGTTAAGCAGTGGAAAAGCATCAAGAGGCATAGGTTCTAATCCCAATCCTGCCACGTGCTACTGTGTAAAACTTTGGGCAAGTCATTTAAATATTTTGAGAGCCTCAACTTTCTCTATATGAAATAGTAATAATAAGACCTATCCTGAAGGGCTAGGCATGGTAGCTCATGCCTGTAATCCCGGCACTTTGGGAGGCCGAGTCAGACAGATCACTTGAGGTCAGAAGTTCAAGACCAACCTGGCCAACATGGTGCAACCCCGTCTACTAAAAATACAAAAATAATCCAGGTGTGGTGGCACACAACTGTAATCCCAGCTACTCAAGAGGCTGAGGCACAAGAATCGCTTAAACTCAGGAGTTGGAAGTTGTAGCACAAGAATCACTTAAACTCGGGAGTTGGAAGTTGTAGTGAGCTGAGATTGTGCCACTGCACTCCAGCCTGGGCAACAGAGCAAGACTCTGTAAAAAAAAAAAAAAAAAAAAAAAAAAAAAAAAAAAAAAAAAAAAACACCTGTCTGGAACACATACAGGATTGTTGTAAGGAATAAATGAGATGTTACATGTAAAAGAGTTGTATACACTGTCAAACACTGTATGGATACTAATCATTATGATAACTGTGATAGAGCTAGAATTTCCCAGAATTATCTGAAAGAAAACTCTATCATATATGACATCTCTAGTGTCATTGCTGTAACTAGTGCGATGAGCAAATGTGTGTTTAAAGAGTGTTTTCAGTTGTGTAGAAAAAAATGTAATAAATCCATCCTACAAAGAGGTGATCACAGACACAACCAGTTTTACCACTTACTGTTTTACTTATATGAAAGAGACCTTGGTGATAGTAAAATTGTATATAGAAAATTATACATTATAGTGCCAAAATAGTTGTTTTACCTCTTGCATCGTGACGTATAAAAATATAAGTTCTTGGCCAGGCATGGTGGCTCACACCTGTAATCCCAGCACTTTGGGAGGCTGAGGCAGGCGGATCATGAGGTCAAGAGATTGAGAACATCTTGGCCAACATGGTGAAATCCCATCTCTACTAAAAAATACAAAAATTAGCTGGGCATGGTGGCATGTGCCTGTAGTCCCAGCTACTCAGGAGGCTGAGGCAAGAGAATTGCTTGAACCTGGGAGGTGGAGGTTGTGCCAGTGCACTCCAGCCTGGTGCCTGGCAACAGAGAGAGACCCTGTCTCAAAATAATAATAATAATAATAATAATAATAATAATAATGAGTTATTTAGGTTAGCTGACTGAGGCTATGTTGAAGTATCACAGCCTAGAAACATGAAAACCATGCTAAGTTATGGATAGGTATAAAAGTAGCTGGAGGTAGTACTGGGCAAAGCCTTTCACACAGCTTTAAAACAGATCCGTGGATCCTTAAGGGCCTGACCTCATTCAGGGGCAAACTATGCAATACAGTGAAGCAGTTAAGAGGGTGAACTCTAGAGCCAGACTGCCTGGGTTTAAATGCCAGTCTACCAGCAATTGCCTGTGTGTACTTGAGCAAGTTGCTTAATTTCTCTGGCCTCAGTTTCCTCACCTATAAAATGGGAATAATATGTACCTGTGATATTATCTCTGGCCTCAGTTTCCTCACCTGTAAAATGGGAATAATATCATGGTTGCTGTGAAGATTAAATGAAATCATACACATAAAGCAGTTAGAACAGTAACCCCTAAAAAAAGTTATCTTGTGATTGCTATTGTGTTATGTCTGTATGGTGAACTCAGCAAGAACTTGAAATTTGGTCTGCTGCTGACTGAGTTCCTGAATAGCCCTTCCTGGGTTATTTGTGCCTTCCTTTAGGCCCATACTTTGTATTAACACAGTTACAGGAGATTCACCTTAACTTTTTAATCTGCTAAAGAGAACTTGTCTTACATAAGTTAAAATGATAGAATCTGTACCCTAATACAATATTTTAGGCACATAACAGACCTGATAGAGTCAGAACAAGAAAGAATGCTCTTACACAAATTAGCGCAAATTGTATTATTGAACATTTATTAAGTTAAGCTCATACCATGTGAGGGTGATTGAGTGAAGCAAGGTAGAACAGTTCACTGAATTCAGTTTCCTGAACAAGTCTTCTATCCCCAGGTAGAGCAGAAAGAGTGTGAGGAGGTAGACCTTCTTCCCATCTGAAGGCTGTTACCATTCAGGTGGCTTCTCACAAGACGGAGAGATTGGGGCCACAGGCCAACAATCAGTGCTTGGGCCATTTGGTTTGGAAAGCCCACTTGTTTCACTTTCCCTAGCTGATTGTTCAGTTGTAAAGGCAAGGGGGAATCTGACTGAAGCATTATTTGGAGGGGAATTCTCTAGAGGTGAGCTAGAAAACTAATAAAACCCTAAGGTAGCCACCTGTTTTGTTTCTCATTCTGAATCCAAATCTTATCAACATTATCCCTTGTCATACAGCCTGCAGTATAGGAGTGGCAGTGGGTCAGGCTATCTGCAGCCTCCACGTAGCTGTTGCCTTCCCCCCCGGAGCTGTTTAATACTTCCCTGCAGCAAGTACATAAAGCACCCTATTACCCAAGGAGATCGTATATCCCATTCCTGGTTTACTCCTGCTATCCTGGCCTAATTATTAACAATGCCTCCTTTCACTCTTGAAAGTGCCACATTTGAATAATAGATATGATCACCAAGGTACTCTAGTCTCCTGGGTAAGAACTGCCATCTCTGACCTTTTTATCATTCCTTCTTCATTAAGCCTCAGAAAATTCAGAAAACCATCTATATCACATGCAACCACCCTGGAAAGTGCTCAAACAGGTTGTCAGAGACGACCAAGAAGAATGAGTAGATACAGAAAGCAGCCATGGAGTGCCCCTTTAGCTAGCAGATTGCTTTCTGTAGCTATCAATCATCTGGAAAACATGGTAGTGACTGGTAGACATGTTAGTCCGGGTTGAATTTTCCAAGAATTTTTGCATACATGTTGTAGGTTTTGATAATATGACATATAACTTAATAGGAAGGGGGTTTATTTGTTGACTATGAATGTGGTCACTGTGTATACATAAAATAAGGGGCTTTGATAAGTTGGGGGAGATGTAAACTTTCCCAAGGGACCTAGGCTTAGGCGTGTCTAAAGTGGAGGCAAAGTAAATAAATACATAAATAAACATAAAGTGGAGGTAGAGTGTTCATAAAAACAAGTCTTCCATTTGCCTTTCAGTTCTTTGCTTTAGGAATAGCAGGCAAACAAACCATCTGGTTATTAGGCCACTCTACCTCAGCTGCAGCTCTGGGGAATTAATATGGATGCCCAAAATGGCTGCCGTACTAACACCGGAATTGGAGCAAAATTCAAGACCCTATTCCCTTAGGCCATCATACCTGCTACTTGTATGTCGCAGCCTGTCCATCTCCCCGCTTGCCTATGTAAGGGCGGTGCTTCTAGGAGCCATGACCATTACTCACCTGAAACCTAGGTGTTAGGAATGCAGCCAACTAGATCTGACCCATGCCCTGTTTTGTGTCTGCGTTGACATGCTGCAGGTGACATCAGTTGCAAGGGGATGACCGAGCGCATTCACAGCATCAACCTTCACAACTTCAGCAATTCCGTGCTCGAGACCCTCAACGAGCAGCGCAACCGTGGCCACTTCTGTGACGTAACGGTGCGCATCCACGGGAGCATGCTGCGCGCACACCGCTGCGTGCTGGCAGCCGGCAGCCCCTTCTTCCAGGACAAACTGCTGCTTGGCTACAGCGACATCGAGATCCCGTCGGTGGTGTCAGTGCAGTCAGTGCAAAAGCTCATTGACTTCATGTACAGCGGCGTGCTACGGGTCTCGCAGTCGGAAGCTCTGCAGATCCTCACCGCCGCCAGCATCCTGCAGATTAAAACAGTCATCGACGAGTGCACGCGCATCGTGTCACAGAACGTGGGCGATGTGTTCCCGGGAATCCAGGACTCAGGCCAGGACACGCCGCGGGGCACGCCCGAGTCAGGCACATCTGGCCAGAGCAGCGACACGGAATCGGGCTACCTGCAGAGCCACCCACAGCACAGCGTGGACAGGATCTACTCGGCACTCTATGCGTGCTCCATGCAGAATGGCAGCGGCGAGCGCTCTTTTTACAGCGGCGCAGTGGTCAGCCACCATGAGACCGCGCTCGGCCTGCCCCGCGACCACCACATGGAAGACCCCAGCTGGATCACACGCATCCACGAGCGCTCGCAGCAGATGGAACGCTACCTATCCACCACCCCCGAGACCACGCACTGCCGCAAGCAGCCCCGGCCTGTGCGCATCCAGACCCTAGTGGGCAACATCCACATCAAGCAGGAGATGGAGGACGACTACGATTACTACGGGCAGCAAAGGGTGCAGATCCTGGAGCGCAACGAATCCGAGGAGTGCACGGAAGACACAGACCAGGCAGAGGGTACCGAGAGTGAGCCCAAAGGTGAAAGCTTCGACTCGGGCGTCAGCTCCTCCATAGGCACGGAGCCTGACTCGGTGGAGCAGCAGTTTGGGCCTGGGGCGGCGCGGGACAGCCAAGCTGAACCCGCCCAACCCGAGCAGGCTGCAGAAGCCCCTGCCGAAGGTGGTCCGCAGCCAAACCAGCTAGAAACAGGCGCTTCCTCTCCGGAGAGAAGCAATGAAGTGGAGATGGACAGCACAGTTATCACTGTCAGCAACAGCTCCGACAAGAGCGTCCTGCAACAGCCTTCGGTCAGCACGTCCATCGGACAGCCATTGCCAAGTACCCAGCTCTACTTACGCCAGACAGAAACCCTCACCAGCAACCTGAGGATGCCTCTGACCTTGACCAGCAACACACAGGTCATTGGCACAGCTGGCAACACCTACCTGCCAGCCCTCTTCACTACCCAGCCCGCGGGCAGCGGCCCCAAGCCTTTCCTCTTCAGCCTGCCACAGCCCCTGGCAGGCCAGCAGACCCAGTTTGTGACAGTGTCCCAGCCCGGCCTGTCGACCTTTACTGCACAGCTGCCAGCGCCACAGCCCCTGGCCTCATCCGCAGGCCACAGCACAGCCAGTGGGCAAGGCGAAAAAAAGCCTTATGAGTGCACTCTCTGCAACAAGACTTTCACCGCCAAACAGAACTACGTCAAGCACATGTTCGTACACACAGGTGAGTGCTGCCCTACCCGGAAGCCTGGCAGCAGGGGCTGAGGGGTCTGTGGGAAGGCAAGGTAAGAGAGCAGGTTGAAGGGAAGGTTTGGGGTCATCATTTCAGATTTTAAAGAGACTCCACCAAAGCCTCTTCTAAAAGCCCCAACTATGTTCCTCCCATCATAAGAACAAAGCACCATGCCACCAAGAGACACCGTCACAGAAACCCTTTATGGAGAAGGGATGTCCTAGGGATATCCAGACTGCTGAAGAGAAGACTTGAGGCATCATATAAGCCATATTCAAGTATTTGTGTTTCAGAGGCAGCATATTGTAGTCAGGAAGAGCTTGAGCTCTAGAGCAAGATGGCTTGGCTTTGAATTCAGGCTTAACCACTACTAAACTTTGTCACCTTGAAAAAATTACTTTTCTGTACTTCAGTTTCCTTGTCTATAAAATGAAAATAATATTGATACACCTTCCTTGTAGTGTTGTCTTGAGAATAAATTAATGGATGTGAAGTCTTTAGAGTAGTTCTTCACACATAAGTGCTCTATAAGTGGTAGCTATTATTAAGATGGTTAAGAGGAGTAGACATTCAGTTTGTATAGTTTAGCTCCAAAAGGTAGAACTAGACCAATGATTGGATGCTATCAGGAGATACTTTCCACTAAATAAAAGAAAAAGCTTGTTAACAATCAGAACCTGCCCTAATATCAGATAGACTGCTTTTAAATGGAGTGCATTTCTATAATTAGAGGCATTCAAGAAAATAATGGATGGATATTTTTAGGAATTTTGTACACAGGATTCAGTTAACAAGATGTTTAAGATCGTGTTTCATCCCTGGAATCTGTGATTCCCAAGCTAAGATCTCCTGACCTCTCAGCCAGTCCTTTTTCCTAGCTCCATAATGGGACAGAGATACAGCGTTTCCATAAAATTGGATATTCCATCCATGTGCCTCCATATAAGTGACCACCTAAGCAACTGTGATTTCACATAGATTCTCTTGGACCTAAGTATACCTACAACAGTAATGATCAGTATATTTAAAATTCTTTTTTTCTTTTCTTTCTTTCTTTTTTTTTTTTTTTTTTTTTGGTGAGACAAGGTCTGACTTTGTCACCCAGGCTGAAGTGCAGTGGCATGATCTCGGCTCACTGCAGCCTCAACCTCCCCGGCTCAAGCAATCCCCTGACTTCAGCCTCCCAAGTAGCTGGGACTACAGGCACATGCCACCACACCCGTTTAATTTTTTTATTTTTTGTGGAGATATGGTTTCACCATGTCGCCCACACTGATCTCAAACTCCTGAGCTCAAGCCATCTGCCTGCCTCAGCCTCCCAAAGTTCTGAGATTATAGGCGTGAGTCACTGTGCCTCAGAATACCCCTATTAAATGATGAATAATTTACCAGGGAAAAGTTATATGCTTTAATTCTGATACGTGAAAACAAATTAGTTTGTCAAAACAACCTTGTTTCCCAGATCAGCTAGTAGGAATCCAAGAGACAGGGCATAAAACAGCAAAGTTTAGATTGGGGACTGAAGGGAAAGAAAACAACAGAGATGGAGGCAAGGCATCAAACTTGGAATTGTACAACTGAAATGGAACATTGCTTAAGATAAACTTTGCCTTCTTTGCGATCTTATTTAAGTCAGGACATTATGTACATTAATGTGCGTACTTTTATGAGAATCAGTTTTTCAAGATCACAGTATTCACACTTCCAAATAAATAAAGTGACTCACTACTAAATTTAGGAAGAAAATTGGGTAGTGGTAAATCACTATGTTTATTTGGGATAAATGTGACTGCACTAATAACCTGAGGTCAGTCACAAGAAATTTTTCATGTGGTATGGGTATCACCATTATTAGGTGAATTAATCAAACAGTAATGTGTTTATTTTGAGCAACTTATGATTTGTAGAGTGCTGTCACATAGTGTATATCCTTTCCTCCCCCAGATAGCTGATTTATAAGGCATTAAAAAGGATCCTCAGGAGGGATATAGGAAGGACCATTTGTGAAAGTGTCTCCTTAGCCAAAGTTGACTTTGCTGTCCTTGGATCCATAAGCATACCTACTCTCCCCTCCGTACATCTCTTCAACTAGACCTATCAGATATAAAATTCACACATTCTATTAGATCACACAGTGAAATTAGGCTTTAAATTTGCAACATAAAATTTTCAGTGTACTACCAAAAAGTATCTTCTTGATGTATAAATACATTTCTCCAATGGATTCACCAAAGTCTTCTCTGGTTAACCAAGATAACTAGATTTGGGCATGAGAAAACCAGCAAAGGATTTGTACGCTCAGACATTATAGATGCAAAAGCTATAGGTAGAGTCATTTTATAAATCTGAGTTAAAGTGTGGACTTCAGTTCTCTGGTAAATTCTGAACGTCTTCAGTTAATTATGAATGTTGTTGTAATGGTGTGTATAATATAGCCCCATCGGAAAATCATAATGTATATATATCAGTCAGGCACCCAATTTAAAAGAAGTAATTCTCTTTCCTTTTATTCTAGAATTATTTGGCAGTAGCAGTTTGGAAATCCTATCTGTCTTTCCAGACTTTTGTCTAACTGAAGGGGTCCCTAACCTAACAAACTTTTAGAACAATTGGTCTAGATTTTCAAAAGGCGTGACAGCCGGAACATGTGGAAATAATTCAAGACCTGAATTCATTGTAGCTCGTATTTCCAAAGTTCTTTTCAATTTCTGGGGAAAACATTAAAAAAAAAAAAGAGGAGCCTCACAACTTTCCAAGAGCCTGGTGAAGTGATAAAAATTCAGAGCAAAATGTCCAAATGTTAGTATAGAAAGATTCTAGAGAGCACGGAGATATTTCCAAGAGTAGGTTTGGACTCAGTGTTCCCACCCATACTCTAACCAAAAGAATCCAAAAAAGAAATAATAGCTTGACAAAGTTAAAAAGAAAGAAGAAATTTGGGTTTTCTCCATCACAGCTGCTATGCAAACCAATAGATCTGCAGAGTGACTGGTTTAGCAATTCAGTATCTCCAAAGTTTAATATAGATGGTACTTGCTTTCAACAACTGCAGAGGTAAGTTGTGTGTAATGGTACACAACTATGGTCCCAGATACTCAGGAAACTGAAGTGGGAAGGTCTCATGGGCCCAGGATTTTCTAGGTCAACCTGGGTACCCATCTCTTAAAAAAAAAAAAAAAAGACCTGAAGAGAATCAATTCTAAGATTCAGAGTCCAATGACAATTTTGTACTGCTCTATGTTAATCTTTCACATTATTGAAAAAAAGTGTTTAAAGCCAGGCATGGTGACTCACGCCTGTAATCCCAGCACTCTGTGAGGTAATGGTGGGAAGATCACTTGAGCCCAAGAGTTTGAGAGCAGCCTGGACAACTTGGCAAGACCCCAGCTCTACAAAAACTATAAAAATTAGCCAGGCATGGTGCTGCATGCCTATAGTTCCAGCTACTTGGGAGGCTGAAGTGGGAAGATCACTTGAGCCCAGGAGGCAGAGGTTGCAGTGAGCGGAGATCACACCAATGCACTCCAGCCCGGGCAACACAGCAGGACTCTGTCTCAAAAAATAATAATAACGAGTATTTGAGACAAAGACGTAGCATGTCATACTGATTTTGGAGCTAGGCTCTACCTTTAAGAATCAAGGAAGCTTTAATTATAAATCATATTTCATAGTGAATATAACCGAGAAATTTTAAGTGGAGGCATAAATGAAAGATTATTGTATTGGGATTAGATGATTTGGATCCAGTTTTGTTTCTTCTAAAGGGCTACGCGTCCTTCAACAAACCAATTGATTTCATAACCCTCAGTTTCTTTGAGTTTAAAATAGAAATGATTTTTTCTGCCTTTTGAGTAGTTTTAAACGTATGATGCATGTGAGAGCTTTTCAGAAGAGGCAAAGTGTTACTTAACTTAAAAAAAAAAAAAAATCCTTATCATTATTACTTTTTGCCCCTACCACCCAGGAGACACTGAGTTTCTTTGCTCTATTTCTTGTCTTTGAATAATACACATTTGATATGTGTCCTTCCTCTTCGGAATTTAAATGCTGAAACTTATGTTATACTCCTTGGATTTCTCTTGAATATTCTTCATAACAAGAATATTTTTATTCCTTAACAATTTTTATAAGAGTAAAATAAAATTCCTCATCTAAATACTCTTTATCAACTGCTAAACAAACCACGGTAGGACTTCATTACCTCTAGGAATTTCTTTCATTCACTTAATGCAGCTTCATAAAAGTTGTGATAAAGGAAACTAAGAATTAAGGGCATGTTTGGAAGCAACAGAATTCAAGAAAAAAACAAACCATCCTGTCAGGGAACAAAGCGGTCCTCCTGTCTGCCCCCTTCCATCAAGAGAAAAAACAGAAGTCACATAATGGAATTGAAATGAAAGGGAAAGATAGAGAATATAAGAAGGATAAGCCTTGGTGTCAACATGGATGTGGAAGGTAAGCAATAGGGAAAATTCAAAGATAACCCTGGAGCAGTGTGATACCCACATTAGCAGCATGCAAATTATGTTCCCCCCTCTTTAACCCTTACCCTAGATGTCCTGAGTCAGTCACTCAGGTGATGGAGCCCAGCAGTCTGTGTAACAAGTCCTGGTTCATGCTGAAGTTGAGAATCAATCCCTTAGAGGGCTAAACCTAGGTAATTAGAAGAATGGCATCAGATTGCTTTTGTTACATAGCATCATTCTTTAAAATTCCACAAAGAATCTGTTTAGAAAAAGTAAATCAGGCTGGGCGTGGTGGCTCACGCCTGTAATCCCATTGCTTTGGGAGGCTGAGGTGGGTGGATCACGAGATCAGGAGTTCAGGAGTTCGAGACCAGCCTGGCCAACAAGGTCTGTCTCTACTAAACCATGTCTCTACTAAAAATACAAAAAATTAGCTGGGCATGGTGGCAGACACCTGTAATCCCAGCTATTCAGGAGGCTGAGGAAGGAAAATCACTTAAACCTGGGAGGCGGAGGTTACAGTGA